TGTATAACTGAGTTGTGGTGTGTAAACGTACAATGTGGAATAACCGAATCGTGATGTATAACGTACAGTCTGGAATAACCGAATCATAAAGTGTGAACGAATAGTGTGGAATGACCAAATCGTAAAGTGTAAAAAAACAGTGTGGGATAATCGGATCGTGAAGTATAACTGAGTCGTGGTGTGGAAACGTACAGTTTGGAATAACCGAATCATGATGTATAACGTACAGTGTGGAATAACCGAATCATAAAGTGTGAACGATTAGTGTGGAATGACCAAATCGTAAAGTGTAAACAAACAGTGTGGGATAATCGAATCGTGAAGTATCAGCGTCAACTAATATAAGTGTATCAGATAGGAGTTTAAACTAAGTAGAAGTAACGCGACGGTATCAAACAATTGAGGTTATATAACATGAAAGAAAGCCTTGATGAAAACTTGGGAAAAACCTTTATACTTAAGAAAATCGCAACTTAGTATTCTTTGGTAAAATAAGTTTGAAAACCTTGAGAAATCCTTTTGGGAAACCTTTATAAACAAGTTTTAATAAAACTTTGATAAAACAATATAAGTAAGAGATTTGAACCAGTGAAAACATTTTAGAAAAGCATTTATAGTATCATTCTCGGTAAAACAGTTAACAGTGTGGTAAATCCTTGTGCATGCGGGTTATCAATCACATATGATTGATATGATAACTGGCATGTTTAACTTGTATTCCCCCCTATAAAACATGTAAAAACATTTAAAAGGTTCATTCAGGGGTATGAACTCACCTGTTGTAAGTGGATCCAACGGAGGTGCCGGTATAGGATGTTAAGTGTCAAGTGAGGACTTGACCACACACGCGAATCCTATTTAACATGTAATGATACATTTAAGTATCTAATTAGTCATTTAACAACTAATTAAGCAATTAAGGGTGTCTTACGACATAAAAACACTTTGCTACAAGTGCTAGAAGTGTCCCGGGTTGCATAGGAGATGCGTAGGGACTCACATTGGAGTTTACTCCTCAAGTGAAGGCCTTTATGGGTGTTTACAGTTTCAAGACCCTTTCCCCCATGATTTTACGGCCGTAAACTCATGGTAGTAGTGTCATGGGATGTTTAAAGGTCTTAACTCACTCATGGAGTCATGCTAGAGTTGAATCAAGGGCTAAGGAAGTGATTGGGGTTCAAAATGGGCACTAAATGGAGTTTACGGTCCATTGTTTACTCCTTGAGGAGTTTACGGTCTAACGAGATACACTTGGGGAGTTTACTACCTTAAACACATGAGTTTATGGTAGTAAAATCATGTTGGTCCCCAAATCATGTGTTTTTGTGGTTGTAGGTTAAGCATACGAAGTTCTAGGTCCAAATCCAAGCCATACAAAGTGTTAAGGGCATTTTAACACCCTTTGGGGGTGTTTATGGTCTATGAATGGGTGTTTACGGTCCAAGAACCTTCTTGGGCCGTAAACTGATGTGTGACATTATTTTTGTATGCTTTGGTGCATAAAATGAAGGAAAATAAGGTTCTATGCACCCTAGGAAGCTCATGGAAGCCCTTGGAGGTGTTTGAGGGGTAGTTTGACACCATACAAGGTGTTTATGGTCCATGAACATGGATTTACAGTCCAAGAACATTCTTAGACCGTAAACTCATGTTTACTCCCCATTTGGTCCGATTTTTGGTGTTCTAAGTCCTTTCGGGTAAGCATCTAAGCCATTGCTAAGCATGAGAAGTGGTTTGGAAGGGTTTTTGAGCATAAAAACCCTTTTATGAGTGTTTACGGTCCATGAAGGTGTTCATGGGCCGTAAACTCATGTTCTTGAGGGTTTCGGGTGTTTAAGTCACGAATTTTCAAGCTAGATAAGTTAGATAACAAGCTAGGAAGGTTAACTTACCGATTTGAAGCTCGAAGGGATGATTTTTGACCAAAACCTGTTTGTAGAGAGAGAAAGTAGAGAGAGAGAGAGTCTAAGGTGGGAAAAGGCTTCTAAGGAGTGTCCACCCACCCTTATATAGGGCTTGGGTGTTGTACCCGATATACGACTACCCGATACTTATGTTTAACGAGGTTTAAAATTTTACCCGGTTAAATGGCCGTAAATAAAAATAAATTTTTTCCAAATAAATGGAAAGATAATTTACGTGTATTTATTTTCGCTTGACGAATATTAATTAAAATATTCCAACGGGTTTAAATCCAGTCAAAAATATTTTCGGGATAAATTAGATTAATTTTTGACGTAATAGAATTCAACGTTAATTTTTGACGTTAACTTCGACGTTAAAACTAACGGAAAATTTTGAGTTGTCACATCATCCCCCCGTTAGAGGGAATTTCATCCCAGAATTCAGGTTTAGGCAAGGAAGTAGGTATGAATGACCGAGTAGAGGTATGAGGATACTTCCTATTTGTTTCGTCTACGAAGTTAGGGTTCTCAATGGTTTCTATCAAGATGAGTGGGATACAAAGAGTGACATCGGGCAACACTTATCAAGTCTAAGAAGTGGACCAATTTGGGGTGAAACTTGTGGAATATCCGAAAGTAGTATTGGTCTTAAAAGGGTTGGATCAAATCTCCGCGAGGGTTCTCAGATGGTCCTAAGCTCTCGGAAGGGTAGAGCTTTTCAGCACTTAGAACATAGTGTACTTCTGTGGCAAGATCATCACTGGCGTGAAGGTGTGCGGCCACACACCCTTTATGAAGATGATAAAACCGTGTTTTTAAAGTATATAATCAAGTGTTCTTAGCATATAACAAGTTATGATAAGTGTATACATGTTATAGAGGCTTGAAAGGGTGATTAAGTCCAAAAAGGTAGTGTGTGTTCTTGGTGTTTTTTGAAGATTTAACACCAAAAAGGTGTTTTCATGGATCAAAGCAAAGGGGAAGGCTAGTTAAGGTCATGTAATAGAAAATCAAAGGATGAATCACTTACTTATATGAAGATTAAAGTGAAAAGTTGGATGATACTTGAGAGGATTTCGAGTTCCATCCTTGAAGAAGTGGAAAAGTATTCAAAAATGACCAAGGGCCACTTATATAGAAGGGAGTATGCGATTGGGAGTGTGTGCGGTTGGTAGGGGTGTGTGGCTGCACACACCTGTGTGTGGTCGTACACTCAAGTGTGTGGTCGCACACTCGATATGTTGGAGTGTTTAGTCCGAGTTTGCTTGATATGCATCGAGTTATCCCATTTCTAGGATCCCACCTTGATTGTACTAGGTTTAAAACACTCAAATACACCCTAAGCAGTGCTAAAAGATAGCAAAACGAGTCTAACTTTGATAGATTTGAATAAATGTACAAGGTAGAAATTTCAGGTTGTCATAATATGAAGTATAGAGCTTAGATCTGAATAATATGAGCTTAATCTATTAAGATAGTTTAACGAACCGAAGAACTCAACGAGTTCATAGAGAAACTCGAAGAGTTGGGTCGAAGTGCCCCGATTCTGTAAAAGGAAGGGCTCGACGAGTTCAAGGACGAACTCGACGAGCTAGGTGGGAAAGTTCTGATTTTGTAGGTTGGAGGAACTCGATGAGTTCGTGAAAGAACTCGACGATTCGGATCATGATTTTCAGAATTTTATGATTTATGGAACTCGGCGAGTTGATTAGCGAACTTGGTGAGTTGAGTCAACCCAGAATGTTGACTTTGATCAGGGCATTGACCTTAACTTCGACTTTGACCAAAGTTGAACCTTAAGGGGATTATGGGTATGAAAGGGTAATTAAAGGAAATCTTTTATGTGTAGGAGTTTGAGTGGGGTTGATTTAATAGTCGAGGGCAGTTCACCTCGGTTATTTCATGTGTTGTAGGAAGGTAGATGGAGAAAATGTTGAGCCTAGGATGAAGTGGATGAACTTTAAAGAGCTTATTGGAATGGTTGGTGTTCTAGGGATTATTCACACGAAAAATGTGTGTAAATTAGGTGAAATCTACATAAAATCACATAGAAAAGCTAGAAGTTCATGAGATAACTTACCTAAAGCTCAAAAATTTGAAGATGATGAAGAATCCTTGGAGCCTTTAACTTGTTTAAGGGTGTGTAGTGTGGATGTATGTAGGATAATGAAATGTAAAGTGTCATTCATGGAGGTATGGTGTACAAAAGTGTGCATGGTATGGTTATTTGGTGGTTAAAGGGAAGTAAAGCATTAAGGTGGCATGAGTAAGTTCAAACCTTGGATTAATTTAATTAAAACCGATTTCTTTAATTCAAAGGAGGGGTTTTCGGTTTTATGGTAGCCCAAAACACCCTTCTTTAGGGTTTTTGGTCTTGAAGATATGGGTTCTCGGTTCTAAGATGGCCCAATAAGGAGGGTTTTCAGTCAAGGGTTGTTTGGGCTGAAAATCTTAAGGTCAAGATCCATTTTTGATTTATGTATGATGCATTTGATCTATTTTTAGTCTTCTAAATGTTTATTATGTATATGCACATATATAATTTCATATAGCATTGTCATTTTTGTATTTCAATAATATATTTCAACAAGGTTACGTAGAGAAATGATTTGCACATGAATAAAATATCGACCCCAAGTTTGCTAGTTGTGACATCAATCAACCCACAAAATTATTTGTCAACCTGAACAAGATCCATATAATAAAACGGGTTACGAAGGTTGAGTGTTGGCGTGTTAGAAAACCTAACCCAAATCTATTTATTTGCATGTCGAGTTCGTATGAAGTTTCATGTTGCATTGAGAATTATCGGTCTTAACATAAAACTCGATTTATAAACCTTTAAAGCATATACAAATAAAAATAAAGATAAATATAACATGTTTAATGTCACAAGCATACATACGATTTTGCATTTATAAAACTACACATAATATAACCATAGTTTGATGAGCATACAAATAAATTGTCCAATCTCGAGTTAATTGTGGAAAATATAAATAGTTAAGGTACTAAAGTAAACATATGATGAAAGAAGACGGCTGAACTTTTCCATTAATACCAAACCGCCAATTTACATATTACACCCTCGTTTTAAGCTTTTCATTTCGTAACCCTCCCCTGTGTCATCCGAGAAACAGAGAGACAAAGAATGGCTGATCAAATAGCGAAAGGTGAAGAATTCGAAAAACAAGCAGAGAAGAAGCTTACGGGATGGGCTTTCTTCGGTTCCAAGCATGAAGATGCAGCCGATTTATTTGAAAAAGCTGCCAATTTTTATAAACTCGGAAAATCCTGTAAGTTTTCAATGTCTTCACCAACAAACAATCTAATTGTAATAGATTCGATTGAGTTTATTGTATTATTAATTTCGTTTTTTGTTTTGATTTTGATGTATATAAAATTTCATCCGAATTATTTATGTTCGTTGAGGTTTGTAGGATCTATGTTCGTATTGATCTGATATTGACGTTTTGATTGAGAGATTAACGTTTTCATCATGATGCATTACATTCGTGATTATCCTTTTCCGTTTTACGACGTTTTACAGTTAATTAATCTATCCTTATCAACATCAAACGGGAACCCGTTCGATTGAATTCTCTATTTCCCTCACAGAACTTTACAATGTCTAGTTGTTACTCCCCATCGTTCCACCAAAATGATCGCAATATAACTTTGAATGTCAAATATAATTCGTTTCACCTTCAAAATCGATAAAGGCTTTAAGCTTTTCAGAGAATCTATTCAAACTACATCGAAATTCAAAACAAGTCCTGCAAATTTGTTTAATACTCGAGATAAATTCCATATCTATATTCAATTACGTGTGGATCATTAGGGTTGAATATGTAGTGGGGGTGAAATCGAAAACCTCGTTAGACATACACAGTTGAGGTTTTGCTATAAATTGGGCATGATTACGAACATATGTATTCATCTAACACGAGACATGATTTCTCAGGGGATCAAGCTGGAGCAGTATACGTCAAATTGGCTGAATGCTATCTGAAGGTAATAAGCGCTTCACAATTTCGAGCCCTAATTTCATGTATTCACTAAAATCCTACATTGATAATTCCTTTCTATTTACAGTTGGATAGCAAACATGAAGCTGCTAATGCTTATGCTGATGCAGGACACTGCTATAAGAAAACAAACAGCACAGGTGTTAATCTTTTCAGCTTCCATACATGAATTTACTACACTCATAAACCATATAGAATCTTCTTTTGTTCTTTATCCTCCAAATTACATTCCAAGTTGTATCAGAATTTAAAGAATTCTATTTTCATATTGTTGGAAACTTATCAGAGTGCATAAAAAACCTAGAGCAATCATTAGATATATTCATGGAAATTGGAAGGCTTGGTATGTCTGCAAGATACTGCAAGGTACCCAATTCCTGAATCTCTTTCTTTCACTGAATACAAGTCTTCATTTCCATTACAATATATATATATATATATATATATATATATATATATATATATATATATATATATATATATATACATATATTAGGCTATGATTTCTTTATTTTTATGCAGGAAATAGCTGAGTTATATGAACAGGAACAAAACATGGAGAAATCAATGGTTTACTATGATAAAGCAGCTGATCTTTATCAAGGTGAAGAAGTTAGCAGCTCTGCAAATCAATGCAGACTCAAAATTGCACAATTTGCTGCTGAACTTCAACAGTAAAACCTTCTTTTTGTTTTTTAAAAGCAAAATATAATAATGCTGAATTTATGTAAAGTGATAAGTAATTATATTGAAGGATTAATTTTTACTTACAGATATCAGAAAGCTATTGAGATTTATGAAGACATATCAAAGCAATCACTGAACAATAATCTGCTTAAGTATGGAGTTAAAGGGCATCTACTGAATGCTGGAATTTGTCAACTCTGTAAAGGCGATGTTGTTGCTATTACAAATGCATTGGACAAATATCAGGTAAAAAAGTGATTTTTTTTAAAAAAAAAAAATCTTTGTGGTTGTATATATTTTCACTGTATTTCCTTTTGTAGGATATGGATCCCACTTTTTCAGGATCACGTGAATACAGATTGCTTGCGGTAAGTTACTTTATTATCCTTGTGTAGGTGGGAATCCATAAATGAGGTCGAGGGCATTTTCGTCTTTTGTATTGATGGGATCTTTGTTGTCTATGGCAGGAATTGGCTGCTTCGATTGATGAGGAAGATGTTGAGAAATTTACTGATGCAATCAAGGAATTCGATAGCATAACTAAGCTGGTAATAATTTTGATTATTCTATTATCATGTTAGGTTTTGTCTTATTCGTTAGTTAATATTATGAAAATGACCATTTTACCCTTGTGATGGAATAAAAATTGCTTACATTCAATACCTATTGCTACAGTTATGATAGAAAGTATGGTATATCGTTCATTTTCTTTTTCGTCTTCTTAATCAGTTAATGTCAGGAAATGACCATTATGCCCCTATGAAAACATACTTTTCAGGAACCAAAGATAGTTACATCCATAGTTATTATTACTTGTTAGTATTTCTATCTTGACTTATGATACTTTATATTTGGTAAATTACATTTATCACCCCTATGGTTTGTTGACTTTTACAAATTATTTACAGTAGTTCCTTTTTAACATTTTTCGCCCTTGAAAAGTAATTTTTTTCATGCTTCTAGTCTTTTAATCGTCTAAGTTAATTTCATTCTTTAATATTATGAAAATGACAATTTTGACCCTGTTTTTTCATCTTCTTCTTCGGTTATTATATGAAATGACTATTTTGCTCCTATGAAAAACTTTACAAGGAAGAAAAATGCTTACATTGATTTTTTGTTATATGTGTACAATACAGGATGCATGGAAGACAACTCTTTTGTTGAGAGTAAAGGACATGCTGAAGGCTAAGGAATTGGAGGAAGATGATCTTACTTGAGTGCCTTTATATTTCTTAAAAAAAAAAAAACAAATATCTTCACTTGATTTGTTAATTCATTATTGCTTACAATTTCTTGCCTTGTATTATTGGGCCTCATTGTAGCCTTGTTAATATTGTGCTTATGTGATTGTCAATTGGGAGATTTGTCACACCTCAATATTTACTCAAATATTGGTGACATAATTTTGTATGGATACATTAACCATTTGTATTGTTCAATCAATTGATGCAATTCAAACATAATTTTATATACCATTTGTTGTGTCCTTAACTACCTAGTTAACTAAATGATGAATGATTAATGTTGAGATCGAGTGAGTCTAATTATATAATAAACGAAAACAATGGCAATGAGTGAATATACATCAAGCGCACCCATTTACTTAGCTCTTACACTCGATGAATTCATGAGTTTAGTCCATTGATATAGATATAAACATTTGATATAAGCCATGTTTGATAAAACCATTAACATGTAAGAGTTCCATACAAGGGATTTATCCCACAGTTCCATACAATAGACTCGAAGGCTTGTTGGGTGTCAGACCAACAAATAAAAAGAATAACATAATGATAAATATGCACCTAATTAAACACACAAGGATTCGTATGATTGGAAGTAGTGTTTGTGCCCTTAGGGATACATATTAACAAATGATGTCAAGATGTTGAGACATGGAGGTTATCGATACTGGAATAAGAATGGGGGGAGGGGGTTAATTATAGAAATTACTACGGTATGTATATATGATATATGATAAATATAAATTCAAGAATAAAAGACATTCCAACATTAGACTTACCTTCTAACAACATTCGAGTTATCATCTTTAGTGATTATGTTTAATGATCCTTCAAAGAATGATGCATATTGATATGACGAGGTGTTTGACTGTTTTAACAACTCTTCTTATTTATTTGAACAAATGTAGCTCATTGGTTAAGCCTAACATGCTACTCTAAATTCTAGCATAAATTCTAGCAGTTCTAAACATATATTGTAATGATGATGATGGAAATGACAAGTATAATAAATACTTATGTTGTTCGAAATGCTTAAATTATATTAAATGAATCTATAATGAAATTAAAATATATTTTACAAAAATAATTCCATTGTTTGTTCTAATTATGTAGAATTAAAAGTTATATTAGGATTCTAAATCTTGATGAACTTTATTAAGTCCAAGAAGATCTCTAACATAATACTTGAAACAAAGTTCAAAAGATAAACTCTAATGATGAAATTGTCGTGATTTAGCCACATACAATGACTAAATCATCATAATTTGCTAGAGGTTTGTCCTCTTTTCCAAAAAAAAATCAAGTAATTTAATCAATAAAATGTTAATTTGTACTTACAATCAAAAGAAAATATATTTTTGACTTGAGAGGGTAAATTACTTTTTGAAATGTACATATTTCGTCCTTATTCTTTTTTTTTTTTTTTTTTTTTTTGTAAATTAAGCCCTTATATTTTATTAATATGTACACAATAGATCCTTTTGACCGGCTTCTATCGGTTCTGATGATGTGGAAGCACACGTGGCCCTAACAACAACTGCATAAAAATTATTTAACTTAGTCACTCCTTATAAACGAATGTTAACATCCAAATTCAGGAAGCTTCAAAGTCGAACACATAGAAGTGGGGATTTCGTAGAAGAAGAAAGAAGATGTCAAGTGGCTCAAGAATCTCCACAGGTTCAAGCAATCAGGGAGTAGATAAGGACGTCCTCTGTGATTGTGAACTCCCTTCAAGAATTCGTACCTCCAAGACCAAAGATAACCCTGGAAAGAAATTTCGAGTGTGCCCTAACTCATTGGTAAATACCTAAATTGATTTTATTTGTCAAATCGAATCAATTTGCTTCTTCTTTCCTGCTATGTTGTTGATTTTATTACTACAGAAACCAGGGAAAAAGTGTAAATTTTGGGAATGGATTGATGAAGAACCTGAGAATATGAAGGCCATTGCAGAAGATACTCTTTCAGATTTTGCAGATTATCTTAAACAAGTTTTAGAGGATGTGGCATCTGTTAGAGAAGAAGTGAAACAGTTAAAGGTTATGATTCAGATATTGATTATGCTGGTCATTGTTAAGGTTATGTTTTGGGGTTGAAGATATGCTTCTGGTGGTTTTTATGGGATTTTGATGTAATAGACTTGTTGTGGAATTGTTGTTTATGTAGTGGATGTTGATGTACTTTATGTTTATGTAATGGTTGTTGATGTACTTTATGTTTATGTAATGGTAAAGTTTAGTGTTATTATATATAGATGTTGATGTAAAGACAAATAAAAGTGGATGACAAAAGGCATCAAGCCATTTAATAATTACAAAAGATAAGCCCACCAGCAGGGGTAATACAGTAATTTAGTTCAAAAGATTTGACAAGTACATCAAAAGTAAACAACTAGTAGGGGTAATATAGTAATTAAGTTCAAAAGATTACCCCACACTACATCAAAATATATATGTCACATGCATTACCCCACTACATCAAAACCTAATTACTCTAAGGTTATAGGTTTGTCTTGGCTGCATCCAGTTCCATCCTTGACTTTAACATTTTTTTGAATACGAATTTCTGTGATTCTTTCTGAAAACTTTCTCACCCTACCAACATCATTCAAAGGAACCTTCTTCATAGGACTTCTCTTCATATGACCCTTCTTCACAAGAACCTTCTTCATAGGACTTCTCTTCATATGACCCTTCTTCACAAGAACCTTCTTCACAGGAGCCTTCTTCACATGACTTGGCCCTGCTGTGCTTGAATCTGGAGTTGAATGACTTGGACATGTTGTGGTTGGAGCTGGAGTTGGCTTACTTGGGCATGTGGCTTTGTTGTGGCCAGTTTGGTGGCAAATGGTACATCTTAGAGGAATGCCTGCCCTTGACACAGTATGCCTTGTGTGCCCACTTAGCTCTCTTTCTGCCTGATCTCTTTTCCTTTTGACACATGGCCTGCCAGGTAACCTCCTCTTTAATGGAGGCAAAATAGTATGAAGTCCTTCAACATGTGGCCACTCAGAACTGTCATTGAGTGGATGGATGTTATACTCATAGCTACTAAGGAAAGAGGCTTTAGCATAGGAGTTGGATACAAAAGCCTCCACATCTTGGTTTAATGATGAAATTGCTGATATGGCATGTACACATGGAATGCCTATGAGTTGCCAGCTTCTGCATCCACATGCCCTCTGATTCAGATCAACAACATACCTCTCATTTCCTGAGAACACTTCAAATTCTTTGTAGCCACTCACATAAGGTACCCAAAATCTGTCAATATACAAGAAGATAGTCAGTCACCATTATAAAACCTATGTATAAATAATGAAATAGTTACTAACCTTTGCAATTCTTTCAAATCCTCTATTTCCCTTCTGATACTTGGGCATATGTCCAAATCCCAACTCAAACCATTTTGCTTCTGCATCTATAACCTCTGCATTGCCCAACATCTTATGTCCTCAAACATTATTATCAATGGTTTCCTTCTAGCATCAAGTACAGTAGAATTGAAGCTTTCAGAAACTCCATTCTCTACTGCATCACAATCCATACCCTTTCTAAAAAAAGCCTTTGACCAACACCTTGGATCCCTTTCTATGAGATAGTCATAAGCCCTACTTTCCAAGGACTTAATCTCATTCATTGTTGCTTCAAACTTAGGTACAGTTGTTGCATTCACAGCCCTCCAAAATGGTTTAAAGTATTGTTCTCCTTTAATAATCCCTGATTCAAACAATAAAATGATTAGTTAATTAAATGACCAAAACAGTTAAAGTTAATTGAACAAAATAGAATGATTACCTTGTGGCCATCTGAGAGGATTGTAATGCCATGACCATTCCCCCCTCCAATGTCTTCCATCAGGTTGTCCAAAAACCATTTCCATGTCCTTTTGTTCTCAACATTGACTACTGCCCAAGCTAAGGGATAGATGTTATTATTAGCATCTCTACCCACTGCTGATAGGAGCTCCCCTCTACAAACACCCTTAAGAAAGCAACCATCAACCCCAATTACCTTTCTGCATCCATCTAACCACCCATCTACAACACCTTTAAAGCTAACATAAAACCTATCAAACACCACAGTATTATCAGGTTGTGGCTCCAAGAACACCTCAACATGTGAACCTGGATTAGCCCTTCTGATTTCAGCTGCATAATCCCATAATTTGGCATAATGTTCTTTCAAACTTCCCTCAACTTCAGACAATGCTAACTTTTTTGCATTCCTACACTGCCCAACACTCACATTAATGTTGTATCTCTTAGATACCAGTGCTTTCATTTTCCTCAAACTTAGTTTAGGACTCTCCAAAACATCATTCACAAATTGTTTTCCTATCCACTTATATGTTACAATTGAACCAAGTTTGAATGCCCTAGAACACTTGTGCTCTGTTATAAGAGACTTAATCTAAAAAGTGTGTTCCTCTTTCATCCAGGAAGCATACAATCTAAAAGGGCATGTGGGATGCTTTCCTTTACAACACCTAACTAGCAACCTAGTCTTGTCATTCTTTTCATACCACAGATCATAACCATTTGCTACTGCATAGCAACTAAGAGAGCATTTAAGTTCAGCAGTAGTACAGTATTTCATACCTAATCGAGGCTTCATCTGATTCCATTCTTGAGTATGATCATGTCTTGGGTAGATAGGTTGTATTGCATTATGATCTTCTTCAACCAAGTCATCGTTCTGTATTGGACAAAGTTTGTTGAGGAATGGATCATTGAAATTTCTTTTGAGAGATATAACTTCATCGTCCTCTACATGTTGAGCTTTCAGACCATCTTCTAAAATGGAGTCGACATCATCAATAGAAAACAAATCTTCATCTTCAAGTTCTGCTTCTTCCTCCTGAATCCAATCAAACAAAGGTTCATGATGATGATCCACATACACATCTAATCTCTTCTTTTCATTCATATCTTCAAGAAACTCGTTAAAATCGCAGTCATTCTAAATAGCATGTAATCCCTCCGATAACCTCACTTCATGTGGACAGTAATACACATCGCTACATCTTCCGTTAGTAAGCTTTTCAATAAAGGGGATGAAATCACCGAAGTTCATCTTCTTCACAACCTTCTGAGGTACCGAGGCTTTTACTCCATCAAAATAAATCAATGGGGTAGGTGTAAACAGCCCTTGATAGTGTACATCAACGATCGTATCCGCATCTTCTGCCATTGTTGATTGTAATTGTGAATCAAGAACTTTGAGGGATTATCGAGTGAGTGAATGGAGAAATGGCTTATTAAATGAGCCCTAATTGTTGTTTTATCTACGTATGATGACACATATTCAATTCATTTCAAGAAAATAAAATCAAAATGTTATATGACCGGTATACCGGCTATACCAGGTCAAAAGGATTGAACAATTACAAAAAATCGAATATAAGGGCTTAATTTACAAAAAAAAAAGAATAAGGACGAAATATGTACATTTCAAAAAGTAACTTACCCTCTCAAGTCATTTTCCCTAAATAATATCTTCTAAAGAAAACTGCGATAAATCTTTTTCAAATTGAAGCATAAAAAAACATGTTTTATGGAGGTAATTACCATAGTTTTCATGGTGACATAAGCATATTACTAGATAAGCTAAAATCAACACGGTCGTGTGGGCCATTAAAATGTCATGAACCTGTCTCAACAGGACCGCATGACAATCCTTTGTAAAACTCAACACAACCATTTTGAGCTTTGGTGCCTTCTAACCTTGAAAGATAATTATTTCTTGATACATTGTCTTTGATGAAAATGTTTTTCCCTTTGACTTCATAACTCCATCTAATCCTCCCTTATATAACTTTCTTGATGATTACTTGGATGTTTCTCCCATCATACCTTCATTATGTTCCATCATCTCTCAGAGCTGTCACACCAACCCCTCCCTCAACTGAACCCCCACTTCCTAAAATGATTCAACTGACACCCCAACCCAACCCATCCCACTTCCCCTCAGTCATGTAATGCTCACCCATACCCATTGTTGTAAAAGTTGGTCAACTCGACTGAATACTCGACAAGTACTCGAACCCCACGAAGCGAGTTTGTGGAAATTTCAACCTAAAAAATCGGAATGGGTCTAACCTTAACTCTACCTTCATTCTTTCATTCTCACTATCTTTCTATCTTTTTAACTTTTTGCTAGATTTTAGTAAAAAAGAAAGTATTTTTTTGAAATTCCAGAATTATTCATTTGATTTATGAGTTATTATTTAAATCCCATAATATCTTTTTGTCTTCAATCTTGCAACCCAGAATAAATTTTTTTCTTATTAAAGTACTAGGTGTGAGATCCATGTATTATATGAGTTTAATTAAAAAAATTAAATATAAAATTTTAACAATTTGAAAAGTTTGAATTATAAGAAAAATATGAAAAATTTGAATTATTAAAATTAATGAGACTTTAATGTATTGAATACATTACGTATATAACTTTTTCTAATAAATACTTTACATATATATTACATTACACATTAAATATGGAATTTTAATTTAATAAATGAAAAATACAATAAAATAACAAGTGGAAAATAGAAAATTTAAAAATTCTAGAAAATACCATGTGTACAAATGAATGAGAAGAAGACATGTGACAAAAAAAACCTTTATTTATTACAGGAGACTTTAGAATTTGCATGAAGCACTCCTAATTACCAATTCCTAAAATTTGGCTAATTTCTTAAAAGAATGGGTTAACATTCAATTTTACCATATATACGCCCTGCTTAGTTATTCAAGGGCTCTTTAGGTCATACATGTTAATTCAGAGTTTATATTTGTAGCTACTTCGATCTAAGAGGATCGATTCTGTAAAAAGATAATAGTCCGTCAGACTGTCGTCTAACCACTACTTTTTCTCACCTTTCTGCCATTTGGTCATCTTCTCGAAGGGCACAATCACACAAAGAATATTTATATGTAGCCATAGTCAACATACCCGTTCTTCATTCGTGCTTTCGTATAAGTTTCAGTTTTCCCTCCGTGACAGGTATTATTATCAAATATCCTATATCAATGGCGAAGAAAACAACTCCAACTAATCTTCTCCTACAGGTACGCTCCTCCTACTTCCTTCTCATAATTTAATAATTCGTATTGTTTTTTGATGTTTGCTACATACACAGACATGTATGCTTCGACTGCTTTCAAATGATTTCAAGTATTAATCGAGCTCGTGAATTTTCACCATGTTAGAAGAATTAGTTGCTAGGTTTTTAGCGGAGATTGTATTATTGTTGCTCGGTGTTTTTTCTGTGCATGGTTCGAGCAATTCAAAAATCAAAATCGACATGATTTTAGGTCGCTATTTTCAGAACAATATAACTTGTTAGCGTATTGAGATTTAGCAATTTGTTCGATCTATACAAGTAGCTCGTAATATTAGGCAGTAATTAAACGATGAAGAAATTTTGGTGTCTTAGTTCGATTCCAACTGTTTTTTGAATTACGAATCCATGTGAGATTTCATTTGCTACAAATTTAAGAAAAATAGATTTCTAATTCTAGTTTTTTGATATTAGCTGAATGCTGTTGTCAATTTCTCTCTGATAACTAAATGAATCCTCCAAATTTCAATTCATGGAATGACATAATTGTGTATTCATTTCCTTTGTATATAAAATGACTCTAAATTATGTGTCTCCTTCCAGCCTCCACAAGTGCAGCACACTGCTGCCACATTTGCCCTTTATACTCAAGGAACTTAAGGGCAAATTGGCAATCCACATTCAAAAGGCCAAAATAGTCAGATCACAATACAATGTCTTCAATGGATGATGAATCTAATGAAAACAAATGCAATACTTCTGTTCCTCCACTCCATCAAAAAGGACTTCTTGGTGAAGATCATAATCATAATCAAAATCAAGATGATGATAGTCATAAAAAGTCCACCTTCTTTAAATTTGGTAAACAAGGCTCCCTTTGTGTAAAATTCCAACGTCTTGCCCCTGAGAAAGATGTTAATACACGTTCTTATAATCATACTTTTCGAGGAAGTGTTCATAGGGTTTTCAACAAGAAAATCAACTGGAAATCCCTTCAAACCATGGCTAAAGAATGGATCTCAAATCCAATAAACATGGTTCTCTTCATTTGGATAATTTGTGTTGCTGTTTCAGGAGCAATTCTCTTCCTTGTTATGACAGGTATGTTAAACAACACCCTTCCAAAAAAATCCCAAAGAAACACATGGTTCGAAGTCAACAACCAAATTCTAAATGCCCTTTTTACCCTCATGTGTCTCTACCAACACCCTCATCGCCTCTATCACCTCATACTCTTATCCAAATGGAGACCACAAGACATTTCCAAATTAAGAAACTTATACTCCAAAAATGGAACTTACAAACCCAACGAATGGGCCCACATGATGGTTGTTGTTTTCCTACTTAACCTCAATTGCTTTGCACAATACGCGTTATGTGGTCTCAATGTTGGATACAGAAGATCAGAAAGACCCGCAATTGGAGTGGCACTGACTGTTTCCATAGCAATCAGTGCCCCTGCAATTGCAGGTCTTTACAGTGTCATGAGTCCTTTAGGAAAGGACTCTGACACTGACACTGTCACTAACAGTGTTTCAGACGAAGAATCCCAAAAAGGGATTGAATCGTTTGAAAAAAGATTCTTGTTAAGTGAAAGTAACCCGAAATGGAGCGGGGGTATTTTCGACTTTTGGGAGGATATCTCATTAGCATACCTCTCATTGTTTTGTAGTTTTTGTGTTTTCGGGTGGAATATGGAGAGACTAGGGTTTGGAAACATGTATGTTCATATGACAACGTTTCTTCTCTTTTGTTTGGCTCCATTTTGGATATTTACATTGGCTGCTGTTAATATTGAGAATGAGATTGTGAGGGAGATTTTGGGAATTACAGGGGTGTTTTTGTGTTTATTTGGATTTCTTTATGGTGGATTTTGGAGGATTCAAATGAGGAAAAGGTTTAATTTGCCTTCTTCTGATTTCTGTTGTGGGAATCCGGGTGTTAGTGATTGTGTATTGTGGTTATGTTGTTGTTGGTGCTCTCTTGCTCAGGAGGTTAGGACTGGAAATAAATATGATGTTTTGGATAATAAGTTTTATAGAAAACCAGAGGGTGAGATGTCTATATCGCCTTTGCCTCGTGAAGAACAGTTAAATTACCGATCTACCCCTAGTCCTACCACGTTTTTACAGGAATACAAGAGTTCGAATATTGAAGAAGGTTCTTCTTCAAGAGGTAATGATTCGACTCTAGAACCACCAATTCCATACTTTATACATAGAGACGCCACGTAAAAAAAATAGTTTAAATATTGTTGTTATTTGTGCTTTGAAATTAGTGTGTTTTTGTAGTTCTTTTTAGAATCTTAGATTTTTGTATGATTTTTTTTTTCTATTCATTTCCTTGTTGATATTATATGTAGATAAATTTGAGATTTTGGTATTTACAAATTTATAATAACATTAAAAGCACATATGGTTTCATCCATCATTGGTTACGTTTGCAACTGTTGTTTTGATTATTTGTGAAAGAAATAACGAGAGGGAATTTTAGGAGATCTTGATATTTTCTATTTGATGAATGAAAGAGAAAGAGATGAGTGAATTGTTCATTCCATAGGAATGAAAAAAAAATGTTTGTTGTCCTACTAATAAATGGATTATTCATACAAGAATATGACTCCTATTTTTTTAATTTTTATTCTTTATCTAGGGTGTGTGTGTGTTTTTAATTCCATCATGGAAGGTAACGAAAGATTGCGATATGACCTATTTTTATGTATGTAAATTTTAATGACACATTTTTTTTTATTAAGTCATAGTTTTATATTATAACTTATTTGGGGTTTAATGAGCTTTTATTGAAAATTTTATCCTTGTGAGTTAAATCTCGTTAATTATAATTAAACAATACGTAGAATACTATAAAAAACTCTATTTTGTATTTACAAATAAGATAAAAAAAAATTCATATGAAAATTCATTCAATTTCTACAGCCAATCAACCAAACATGATCGTTGAATGTAGCGACTCATTCCATTGTCTTGTTTATTCCATTCCATTCGTTGTTATTCCATTCCATTCTTCCTCCATTCCCATGGCATTTCAGGATTTAACGAAGCCCACAACCAAATTTTCTTAGCTCCCACATTTTTCTCCCACTAACATCATCAAACCAATTCCCCCATTTCATAACTCAAAAAGCCTCATTGTTTTTTCTTAACACAATCACATAAGTGAACTTAACTTCCCTAATTCTGGCCTTTTGTCATATCCGGTGTAATGCCATGCTAGTCCTTTCTTCAATTATAGGTACTATATCAGCATACAATTTACTTGTACAAGTATGCCATTACAGTAAATATCCCCAACAAAACACCCATAACGATCTTCATCAAAGATCCAAATTTTCAAACACTTTCCATCAACTATCTTCACCAATTCATCCTTCGCCTCTATTCCCATAAGGTATGGCACTTTCTGGTGCATCTATTCCCCGACTTCCATTAACTCATATTACACCAAATAGAAAGAAAAAAAAAATCATGAAATGTCTAGTTTCATCTCTCTATTACATCATTGTACTTTTAAAAACCTACCAATTATAGCAATTTTATTCAAATACAAAACAATTTTCATTAATATATAAGGCCCCAATAAGAAGAAAGGGTAAATGAAAGAAATAACAACGCACTTTTATTTATATATTTATTATAACACCCTACTTTCATTTCTTTTTATTAAAGTATTAAAGCATTGTCCGTTGAAAAATCTACCCAACAATAGCAATATCATTCAAATACAAACCATTTTTACAGCTATAGTTTGATATATATTTTCAATAAGAAATATAAGTATAATACTATAATTGAGTTTATTTTTCGAAGTATGATGTGTTTAGCCCTATGGAAAAATAATAATATGAAAGTACAATGAGATAAGTGGATGGATTTTTCATTTTTCAAAGTACGATTCCTTCATTAGAAATCAAATTGAAAGTACAAGGTTGTAACAGAAAGAAACGAAAGTAGGATGCTATAATACACAAATAAATAAAAGTATGTTGCTATCTCTTGCAATTAACATTTCTAGAAATTAAAATGAATCTCATGATCGAGTTATTGATGGGACAAATATATATATATATATATATATATATATATATATATATATATATATATATATATATATATATATATATGAAATACCTTAATCTAATCCATACTTTTGTGCTTGAATTTCTTCGTCCATGTATCATAACATAATTAAGAGAAAAAGTCACTGTCAATCTGTGATTTGCTAGTGCGATGCATCTGCTTTAGTGTAGTCTTGTGGGTATGTGCTTTGTTGTGTTCAAATGTCGCCATGTATACATCTTGTGGGATACGTGATGACACTCGTATGCATACGAGGTGCTAAAGTAGAGTGTTACAGTGTTTCCATGCGCTACTTCCCTTGCATTCACCTTTTTAAATCAAGTGAAATTTTTCAGAATTACGAAGAAATTTAGACAGTGATTTTCAGTGCCAGTGTCACTTGGGAAGTGTGTGTAATTCGAATTTGAGACCATCGACAAGCGGTGGAGCCCCCCGGTGGTGACTTCAATTAGTGAGTGTGGTAGTGGGAGACCAGAATGATATTAAACCCTTTCAAAAGAGAAATGGAACTGTTATGTGCTATTGGTTTAAGATGGGTAGGAGTTCTAGGCTATTTTTGATGATGAGAACGAAGAGGATGTTTACGTCTTTTTCGTAGATGAGAGATCAAGAGCGAGTCTTGTCACTCCTTGTTCAATATTTTTTTTTATCAAGACAAATAGTACATTTTTTGTCCAGTTACCTCAATCTCATCTGTTAGATGGCACAAAAACTGCAAGTTTTGTCCAATTAACTCAATCCTAGTCCTAGTTCTCGTTTCATCTTTTTGGGATGCCTACTTAAGTACAATTTTTGTACGGTGATCAATATGTGGAACAAAAACACTATATTTTTGTCCCATTACTTGGTCCTAGTCAAATTCACACCAAACATGATACTCTCTTTTTTGTCATGTCATATCCAACCAACATAACAAAACAAACGCTCCTTCATGCCCATTGGCCATAACGCTAGAAGGGTCATTTCGCACCACATTTGAAAATGGGTTTTGGGTAGAGAAAGAACCTCAATATCAGGTCTTTGGTGTTTCTCTAGGGTGTGAATTACTAGCCTGGATGCCTCTTCGGGGTCCAAACGTCACTAAAATTCATGAGCTTTTAAGCTTAACATGTAACGTCCCAAATTACAAAAAGATTGTTTTCATTTAAAATAGGTTAACAATTAGCAGCTTTTTTAGAAATTATGATATAACATTCAGTTGTTGAAAATCATAAAGTTAATAGAGTTGAATTACAAGATAACGAAAACCAAAATCTTTGATGCGAGTGTATAGTCCCACCAAGATCTTCCCAAGAACAACCTGTAAAACATTTAATCCACAACTGTAAGCATAAAACTTTGTGAGTTCCCCAGTATACCACATATTCAACCATACATATAATGCATACAAGAACAGTCTGTAACGCCCGCAGATCCGGGCTAGTCAATTTAGAGGCAATAGGGGTCAAAAATAACTTTTCGACAAAAGATTATTTAGAATGAATAGTCTTAACCAAGTTTTAGAATATGTCACAAGGTTTCCGTACATATAAAGAACGCCGAAATCCGAGTTATAACGAAGAAGTTATGGCCCGCCGAAGTTTTACGGCAAAACCGGCACGGCACCGGAAGACGTAAATAGTGAATTTACGATAGAAGACTTTTTATCCTTAGCAATCTAAACAAAAGTCGTAGAATATGTTAAACTAAGAGCGTCGATAAAAAGAACGCCCAAATCTGACTTCGTATGAGGAAGTTATGATTTTTCTAAGATTCGGCTTAGCAGTGTACAGCCCGAAACTCGAATTTTAGTTCGAGCGGTTTTTGGCTTATGTGAAATAAATGAAAGTTGAAGATCTCATTAATAGGAACTCAACGGTAAAAAGACAGACGAAAACGGAGTCCGTATGAAGGAGTTACGAATTCTTCGCGGTCATTTAACAGTCTAAACGCCTCGTACTGTTAAATTTAAGATCGGTCGAGAATTAGCCGACGGAGTCAAAATGAAAGTTGTAGATATTATTTTTACCTACGCGTGGATATAAAGAACGTCAAAAACGGAGGTCGTATGTGAAAGTTACGGATTTTAGAAGTCGGAAGTGTGTTGTGCGAAAATGGGTGATGTGGCACAATCTTGGCCATTGCTTTCTCCCCAAGTCTTGCCACTAGATGGTGACATGTGGCACCAAGTTCAGCCATTTTCACCCTATAAATACCACCTCTCCCACCCTCATTTTCTTCACACCTTTCCCATTCTTTCTTCTCTTTACTCTCTCTCTAGAACCTCTCTCTAGCCCCGAAATCCCCCGAAAAGCCTAGGGAACCTCCCTAGCACGAGGCGGAAGCCCCGGAGTGCTCGACGGCTCCGAGAAGAAGAGCTTTTCGGCTCGGAAACGCTGCTCCAAGCAAAGCCTGGTTTTCTATAAAACCCGCTGTAAGTGAGCTACGCCTACGCTATTTTTAATATAGTTTTTATTTAATTATATTAACGTTATTAAGAACATATAATAAATACTTGGGCTATTATTATGGGTTATATAAGTATTTTTTTAACGCTTATATAATAGTAATAATAGCTAGACTATTAATTAGTCTCGGCGAATAATAGACTAAAATCTATTGGTGATAATACTAGGTTTCGTCGAAGGAAATTATTTTAAAGTAAACGAAGCGCTGTCCGAGTACCGAGTCACCACCTTCTCAGGTGAGTGCATAGTCCCTTTCATGAACATGATTTTAATACAAGTATTGATTGAAGTATTAATTATATGTTTATGTGCGAGTTAATTGATGTTGCTTGAAATTCGTGTTAAAGAACATACCTGATTATATTTGATAATTTAGGATAAAGAGTAGACCTAAATTAAATATGAGGAATATTGGGTAGTATATTCTTACGAGTACAAGTGAGTTAAACTCAGAGAATAGAAGTTAGTATATGTCACTTATCCGGGAGTATGGATTAGACATAGTCATTGTCCCTAGTCCGAGAATATGGATTAGGCATAATCATTCGTCGTTAATCCGAGAGTATGGATTAGCTATTGTCCCTAGTCCGAGAGTATGGATTAGGCATAATCATTCATCTTTAATCCGAGAGTATGGATTAGTCATTCGTCCCTAGTCCGAGAGTATGGATTTGGTAAATTCGTTCATTT